ATATGGAGGACTTGGAACATAGTGTGGCTGAGGAGGCCAATTCGAGAGGGACCATCCCTTCCACAGTGAAGACAAATACAGTCTGTCCCCTGACCAGCTCCCTGATTTGACTGGTTTCGGGATGGCCTCTTGGCCTCGGCGTGCTGGACAAGGGTCTCTTCAAATTGGGAGAGGCCATGCTGCACTGTCTGCCTCCAGGCTGAACGCTCAGATGTCAAGGTTTCCCATCTGTGGAGGTCCATTCCTAAGGCCTTCAGATCCCACTTGCAGATCTCCTTGAATCACAGCTGTGGTCTCCCTCTGGGACAATTTCCCTGCACTCATTCTCCATACAGGAGATCTTTCGGAATCCGACCGTCAGCCATTCTCACGACATGCCCAAGCCAACGTAGACATCACTGTTTCTGTAATGTAGACATACTAAAAAATTCCAGCTCATTCCAGGACTACACTACTTGGAACTTTGTCCTGCCAGGTGATACCAAATATGTGTCGGAGACAACGCATATGGAACATGTTCAGCTTCCTCTCCTGCCGTGCACAAAGGGTCCAGGACTCACTGTAGGATAGGAGTGTGCTCAGGGCACAGGCTCTATAGACCTGGACCTTGGTCTATGCCATCAGCTTCTTATTGAGCCATACTCTCTTTGTGAGTCTAGAGAACATGGTGGCTGCTTTGCCAATGCGTTCGTCCAGCTCGACATCTAGGGAGAGGGTGTCAGAGATCATTGAGCCGAGGTACACAAAGCTATCAACAATTCCTACATGAACAAACGCGAGTCTTCTGCTATCTTATTTCACTCTTATATTTACTTTTATATCGTATTTCACCCCCTTCAACTCCACCTCCCCCACCCCTTCTCTCTCTTCCATTATCATCTTTGCTCAGATCTGTGTTTTTTTTTAACAACCCAACCCTAAGAGAAACATAGGCCTAATGACTGCAAGGAGCCAATGGCTATTTAGAATATTCGACTTGTGAAGCTGATATTTCATTCAGCTTTTCATTCTGTTTCCATACGTCTGATGAAGGTGGATGTGCCCACGGAAGCTCACCTTAAAATATAATCGTCTTTAAGGAGCCACATGTTTTTGTCTTGTCTTGTTTCTTTGGGTTTTGCCTGATGGACTTGCACAGATTAACACGGCGACTGGTAGTGTTACCTAGTGGCTAGAGAGAGTGAGAGAGAGAGAGAGAGAGAGAGAGAGAGAGAGAGAGAGATGGTCAATGTTATTTCAGCATTGCTTTTTCCTTCCCTTCTGCGAATGCCGAGTGTGTGTGCCACATCATAAATCCTCTCCACCAGGAACATTAAATCCCTGATTTATGATCCTTTCAGACAAGCACAGTCTTGCGATAAACTGCTCCTGCTTGATCTTTCTGGTCATTTCTCTATGACAAAATCTGATGGTTAAAGATGTTAGATGGCACTCTTGTTGCATCTGTCTAAAGAAAGCCCCAACTGACCCATGGCTTTATTGCGTGCACTGGATCTGCGTCTTTGGCATCGCAGGTTTCGCCTGTCATTGATCTTTTTGGACCTCCACACCGCCAGGCTCGTTCAAAGAGTTCACGGCAAAGAAATGGGAATGTAGAGATGGGCCTGATTTTTGCCTCCATCTAGGTCAGTGCCTTTCCAAACCCCCCTCCCCTGATCTTGGGAACAGACCTATCTACTCCTGTGCGCTCAGGCCCCTGAAATGCTGTACCAAATCATGGAGTGGGAAGGGGCCTATAAGGCCATCTAGTCCAACCCCCATGCTCAGGACAGGAACACAAATCAAAACAGATCGGACAGAGGGTCCTCCAGTTTCCTCTTGAAGGCCTCCAGTGTTGGAGCGCTCGCCACTTCCCCCTGAAGTCATGGGTTCCATTGTCGTACTGCTCTAACAGCCAGGAAGTTTTTCCTGATATTCAGCCGAAATCTGGTTTACTGTCTATTGAGCCCATTCGTTGCGTGTCCTGCACTCCGGGAGGATCTAGAATGGATCCTGCCCCGGATGACTTTGCTTCAAGTCTTTGAAAAATGCTATCATACCTCCTTTCAGTCTTCTTTTCTCAAGGCTAAACATGCCCATTTCTTTCCATCTTTCCTCCTAGTTTCCAGTCCCTTGATCATCCTTTATTATTAAGTGAAAGTATTTAAATTGCTTTTACCCCACCCGGCTCCTTAAAAAGCACCCAAGGCAGCTTACACCTTTGAAAGACAATATTTAAAGCTGAAAACGATGAGTAGACGTTGGATCACCGCATTAAAAGACAATATTTCAAAGCTAAGAACCGTGAGTATAAAGAGACAGCTTACATCATTAAAAGACACTATTAAAGCTAAAGCCCCAAGTATGTGAATACTAAAAAAAGGAATAAATTCCACTCGGAGAGATGGTGAACTCAAGTTGCCTTTCTCTGAACTTGCTGCAGTTTGTTGGTCTCCTTCTTCACAGGCAGTGTCCAGAACGCTCAAGGTGAGGCCCAACCAGTACCGAATAGAAGGGAACTGGTATGTCATGGGATTTGGAGACTAGACTTCTGTTAACTTCCCCCCCTCTCTGAAGAAGCCCCATGACACGGAGGGACCCTCAGGGAGGCCATGCAGGGTTCAGAAGCCACATTTTCCTTTATTAAGCCCACCAGGGACATAAATACTGTATTTCTACCTTCAACCTGGACGCCCATTTCCGGTGGGGTGATCGAGCTCTCCAGCCAGCTTTAAGAACGAGTGTGTGCCATCAAATCAGTTCTGACTTCGGGTGACGCTTTCCAGTGTCTTCTAGGTATACAGTGGTGCCTCGCATTACGATGTTAATTCGTACCAGCGAAATCGCTGTAGAACGAAAACATCGTAAAGCGATTTTTAAAAGCCCATAGAAACACATTAAAACCTGTTTAATGTGTTCCAATGGGCTTCAAACTCACCACCCAGCGTAGATCCTCCATAGCGCGGCCATTTTCGCTGCCCGTGCAGCGAGGAATCCGTCCCTAAACACAGCGGGCGGCCATGTTTTTTACCTGGTGGCCATTTTGAAACCACCGATCAGCTGTGCGAAAATCGTCGTTTTGCGAGAATCGGTTCCTGAAGCAGGGAAACGATCATCGCAAAGCAAAATTGTCCCATAGGAAACATCATTTTGCGATCACTTTTGCGATCGCAAAAACTTCGTCGTAATGCGATTTCATCGTTAAACAGGGCACCCGTCTTGCGAGGCATCACTGTATATAGTACTCAAGAGTGGTTTGCCATTTCCATCTTCGGGGACTGTCCTGGGACGGTGCAGCTGGCCCAAGGCCACCCAGGCTGGCTCTTCTCCTGGGACACCCACTGGGGGAATTGAACTCCCAGCCTCTGGCTCCGCAGCCAGAAACCTAGCTCACTGAGCTATCCAGCCAGCTGTAGGGATTGTAGACAAGTTGCATTTTATGTGGCAGGTGTTCCATACAAATTATGCCCGTCACAGTAGGAAAACCGGCATCTCAATTAGCTGAGATCTCTTGAGGAGTCTGCTAACGCTGTGTTGTCATGCCGAGATCCACAGATTCATGTCAGACACAGCTCCATACGCACCCACCCCAAGCTGCTCAGGGACCTGGTTTAGCTGTCAATCCCTCTGTCATACTGTCCTGGGGATTATGGGTACTGTTATCCAAAAAATAACATTTCTGAACCCCCGGTTAGGGAGAGGCGGGGGGGGTTGACTGAGAAGCTCGGCGAAGCCCGAGACAAACTAGTGTAGCTCCTCCAGACCCTAACCTGATCTTAACTAGCTCATTTGACTTGGTGAGAGATTGTGTTGTTGTTGTTTTTCACGGTTGGTACCAGGAGATTTCTTGTTGCTGTTGTTAAGATGATTCTTGGGGACTTTAAGGGAAGAGCAAGGCCCACATAACCTTTCAGGTTGGGGGTGTTTGTTGCACCCCCCCCCAAAAAAAACCCACCCGAAACGTTAGCAGACAATTAGAAAATGACGTGAATGGGAAGGCGGCGATTGCAAGGATAACTTTCTAAGACTCTCGGTCCCAGCTTTCCACAGCCAGGGTGATTAGATTTTGGTGAGCTTTATTCTATGAAAAAAAAATTGATTTTTCTAGCTCCTGGTGGCAATATGTAGAGGATGAGAGGAACGGGAAAGTCCATCCTTCAGCTCTCCAGAGCTCTCTAAATGCCTCTCCTCGGTATTTGCGCAGAAGGCGAGTCGTTGCTGATTGGCCAAGCGCAAGCTTTCGTCTCCCTTGGCAACCTCCTCCCCCAGGTGTGCTTGGGTCCAGATCATCCTTCCAGCTGTGCGAGCCGACCAGGAGGCAGAGAGCTTTCCTAGCTTCGTTGTGTGCCTCCTAAGAGACCCCCCCTTTTCCACTGAGTCAGAAAGGGCCCCGTAAGGCCATCAGGGCCACCCCCTGTTCAATCCCAATCAGAACTGATCGGACCGAGGGTGGTCCAATTTTCTCTCGAAGGCCTCTGGTGTTGGAGGGCCCACCACCTCCTCCCGAGGTCATGGCTTCCGTTGTCCTTCTGCTCTAAGTAGTTATTCAGCCGGGTGTGATGGTCCATAACACAACAGAATAATAAAGGTGGAGAATATTTAGGAGGGGGGGGAATTCTAAATATTATTTTTGGGAACAGGGGAGAGGTGGAAAGATCCCAGACCTCTCACCCACCAACAGCGGAGAAATTTTGATTGAGCCACACTTACGATTCAAAAGCAGTGAGCTTGACTCCTTCTGCAGGACCCCCACTGGCTTGATCTAAAATGCTCGAATAGGGGAGGCTGGAGGTGAGCCCTAAAGCTTGGGGCCATCCCTGAGAAGCCCCTGTCTCTACTGTACCCCAGCTCCCCCCCCGACCTCGTCCGTCTGTGGTCCAGAACGCAGGGCACCAGACACCTGCGAAAGAACATTCTCCAGGGAGAGGGATGGGGTTAAAAAAAATCCAAATTCATCAGTGAATCAATGAAGGCATTTAGATGGAATGACGTAAATAAATAAATAAAAATTGGATTTCCAGGCGCCATGAGTGTTTTCTAAAGGCCAGCAAGATGCCCGGGCTCTTCAACCGGACAACCAACCGCGCTCTGCCGCTCGCCGCGTCGGAGGTCACCTCCTGCGTCAGCGGCTACGCCTTCGGGATGACCGCCTCCCTCACCTACCGCAACTCGGAGTGCCATCCTTTCGAAGGTGGGGGTCAGCCGGGCGGCCCGGTCAGCAGCGCTACCGTGGACCCAAGGTCTAAGGGGGTGGGGGTGGGGGAAAGAAGCGCTGGGCTTTTTTGATGAGTTGAGGGGGGAAAGAGGACTGCATTGGCCACCCACGTCTGTCCCCTTCTGGCCACGTATCTGTCTCCGTCTCCGACCCTTTCCTGTCCGCAGGCCTCTTTGTCTACCCGCTGGATGAGTACACCACCGTGGTCGGCTTTGAAGCCGTGATCTCGGAGCGTGTCGTGACCATGCAGATTAAAGACAAGGCCAGGATGGACGATAACTACTTCGACTGTTGCAGCCTCTCCGACGGACGACCCTCCGAGGAAGGTGGTGAGAGGTTTCTTTCTCAAAACGCTACTATCAATCCTCTTGTTAGTTGGATGTATAGTAAAAGCCTGGAAAAGTTAATTTTAAAAGGCTACAATTTTGAGAATGTACAGCACTGTGGCCGCAAGGAATGGGACTGCACCGCGGGTCACGTCTACAAATTTTGACCCATGGGAAGGTTGGTGGGTTTGCTTATCCAAGAGTTTTCCTCGTTTTGTTTTGCTGTCTCACCGGTGAGGAATTTTCCTCCCATGCAGGACACGTCGTGTTGGATGAAGATCTGGAGAGAGCCGTCTTTGTGGCCAACGTGGGCATCGTCCCGCCACAGGAGAACGTGTCCCTCTGCATCAGTACCTCGTCGGAGCTGCAGACCCTCACCAGTGGCGCCGTCCGGGTCCTTCTTCCCCCTGTCTGCGTCCCCAGGGTCCCCCAAAACAGTACCGAAGTGGCCGCCGCCCTCTCTGGACACAGCGTTCGCTTGTAAGGGGCCAGGGGGAGGGATCCGATCACCTCCTCGGAGGTTGGACTACAACTCCCAGAATCCCCCAGGCAGCACTGCGGCTGGTCCTTGGGCCCCTGAGGGGTTCTAGGAGTTTCATTCTGGAAAAAAAACCCTGCTTTCTCTGCACATCAGAGGGCTAAAAAGAAACAGAAAAGGGAGCAAGGCCCAGAGCCTTTTCTCAAAGAGTGATGGGCAACCTGTGGACAAAGGGCCGCATCCGCCCTGTGATGTGTGTCCCTACCCACATAAGTTTTGGCCCCTCCCACAGGTGGCCTCCAAGCAGAGGGATTGCCACAGTCAATGAATGGACAGGAGCGCACTTGGGAGCCCTGTGCGAATCTCCCGTAGAAAGAATTCTTTATTAGCGTTCCCCAAATACGCGAAGGCAAAGGAAGGGAGGGGGGAGGAGAATCAAAGGGTGAGAAAGGCGTTTTGTTCGAAATTCGGGCAAAAAGTTGAAATAGATGTAGAGCAAACAGTCACAGAGCATGCTAAGAAATGATTGCAAGAGGCACACCCCATGAGACAACGCTTTAACAGCACTTGCACGAAGACGGACATAGATAGAACAGTAGGACCCCCCGTATCCACAGGGGATTGTTTCCAAGCCCCCTGTGGATGCTGAAAACCATGGATAATAGCAAACACAATACTTAGCATGGTAAAGGGGAAAAATTCAGAAATATATATTTCCACAATGTATTTACCACAACTGGCCACTAGAGGGCGCCAGAGACTATGCTATATATTCCAACAGCAAGCATCCATAGCATCATCTCTGGCTCCCTCTAGTGGCCAGTTCTGGTAAATACATCATGAAAATATGTATTTCCAGTTCTTATCTTTTCATGTTTTTTTAAAATATTTTTAGATTACGGATAAATGAAACCGCAGATACTGATCCCGCAGATACAGGTGTCCTACTGTAATATTATGCTTCTCCTTTAAGCCTATTTTGATGTTTGCCTTAATATTGTGAAATGTGTCATTCTAGATATTATAATTTCTGTATTCCCTTTATTCTGTTACGACAGTCCACAAACTCCCTGTTATTCTGTGCCATTGAGTCAGATTCAACTTATGACATTTCTAGCAGGTTTTCAAGGTATGGGAGATATTTTAAAAAGGGAGTCTTAACATCACCACTCCAGTGAGCTTCCATGGCTGAGGCGGGATTTGAACCCCGGGCTATCTGGGCCCTAGTCTGTCACTCTATCCATTACACCACACTGGTTCACAGAGTCTTTGTCCTCCCCAGGTTACCTTCCCATATGAAGTTTGCAGAAACTAAAAGGAACAGTAGCAAAATGTAAATACATTTGAATACTGTACTTTCTACGTTGAAGCAGGAACAAGGTGAACTGCCATCCCAACAGCCAAGAAGAAATGCAAGGGAAGAGAAATGTTGGATGCTGGCTGATGCTCATGTTTTATGCTTAACAACACTTTGGAGCGCCCTGATCCTCGCTCTTGACAAGGTCCCCTTCTACCTTAGCAGGGACCGACATTACTGTGGTTCCACCACCATGGACCAGTCGGGAAAATTCTGCTTGGCCCGCCTTTTGGAGACCGAGACCACCAACCCTACTGAGTATGAATTCACTTTCCATTTGGAGATCCGAGGACCTTGTTTACTCGCAGGTAAGGTGGGGCGACAGGTGAGGAAGCTTGAATTTCCCTTCTTGGAAATGTGTATGTCAATTTGACTTTATGAGATCTTACAGGATTTCCCAGGAGTTGGGAAAGTTACCTTTTGGACTATCAAATCCTGTGGAGATTGTGGGAACGTTTTCAATTATTGCTTTTTAAATGGTCTCGATACTGTTTTGTTTCTGTTTTTTTTTAATATTTACCACTTGGAGACCTCACAGTACTGGTCAAAATCCTGTTGTGTAAGTTGCACCTGTAGAAGGGTGATGAGAGATTTTGGTGATTAAAGACTTCCCTTTTCTATCCTGGGGCTTGCCTGACTGGTGAGTAATCCATTTCAGAGAGGAAGGAGGGAAGTCTTTAATTCCTCTTGCGTCTCCAAGGGCTTCCTTGTTATGAAATGGATTGCTCGCCAGGCAGGCAAACCACAGGGTAGAAAGGGGAAGTTTTTAATTACCAAAACCCCTCCCCGTTGATGACATCATCACCCTTCTGCAGATTTCCACCATTATTGACAGGGAGAGATTTTGAGTAATTCAAGGACTTCCTGCTTCCAGTCCATGGGTCCAGTGGCTTCCATGTGATGAAGAGGATTACTCACGAGTTGCACAAGCCACGAGACAGCAGGAGGAGTCTTTAATTACCAAATGTCTCCCCCAGTTTGTGAGGGAGATTTGGGCAGACATAACTTAAACAACTCAATGGTAAATGTGGATTTCAAATAAATCAATGAGCAGAAATACTACTAAACGTTAGGAAGGTTTTCTCATCATGCAAGATGTTTAACGAACAGTCTAAAAAAGGATGGAGGTTTCTTCCTTGAAGTTTTCCAAGTAGAACATGGGTATTCCTCTACTGGCAAAAACTCTAACATTGGCAAAGGAGTCGTATTAGATGACTTTCGATGTCCCGTTGACCTCATAAGGAATATCCACGCCCTTGTTCCACCGGCTTCCCCACACAGGAGTCGAGAGCCCAACGCACGAGATTCGAGCGGATGCTGACCCGTCCGCCAGATCTGCCAAGAGCATCGTGATCACATTGGCCAACCGGCACACCTTTGACCGCCCGGTGGAGATCTTGATCCATCCCAGCGGTGAGTGCCTTGGCAGGAGGAGCCGAGGAGCTCCGCTATGGGTTGGCCTGAAAGCCGAAACGCTTTTGGCGGCCCAGAGGAAGACGGGGGGTGGTGGTGGTGGTGGCCACGGATGGTATGTTCCTGTTCGAAGGGACCTCGTGGTCTGTGGGTGGAAACCCAAGTCGGGAATTTGCTGGGTCACTGAAAAAAATCATCCACCTGACAAATGCTGGGTGTTGCAGAAGGTCATGGGTTGGCTTTTGCCTACGGGAAGGGAAGGAAGAGTGAGCGGGTGTCTTGACCAGTTCTTTTGCCCTGGAGCTACAGTCTAGATCAGGGGCTCCCAGCCTTGCCCCCCCCTCAGATGTTTTTGGACTACAACTCCCAGAAATCTTGGCCAGCACAGCTTGTGGGGAAGGCTTCTGGGAGTTGCAGTCCAAGAACACCTGGGTGACCCAAGGTTGGGAACCGCTGGTTTAAATCTTGCTTTGTCGTCTCTCCGTTTCAGGTGCAAGAGTTTCTACATCTAGACAGATTTTTTTGGGGGGGAGGAGGAGATTTGGGGCCTATTTCCTACTCCCCGAGTCTCCCAAATATTGTAACGTCTGGTGGATTCAAAAGCTCACCTTGTCCGTAGCCTGGTAGTCCAACCGGGTAGCCCGTTGAGGAGGTCCAGGGGGAAAGCGGAGCAGGCCGGTGCCAAGAACATCCGAGGAGGGCCACCATGTATGAGATGTTTCCTTGCGCCTCCCAGGGGTCACCAAGCCAAAACTGAAATGCTGGGTTTCAAGAGGAAATGGTGATACGGTCAGTAACCTGGGGGAACAGAAAGAGACAACAGGACATGATTATGATCATCATCATCTTAGAAATGCAGAGCCAGAAGGGACCCTATGGATCATCACGTCCAGCCCCTGTCAAGGAGGCCCCGTGGGACAATTCGAACCCACAGCCTCTGGCTCCGCAGCCGGAGGCCTCGACCTCTGAGCAGATATTGGACCCAAGCTCTAGAGCAGTGGTGGGTGGGTTCCAAAGCCCCTGCGTCCAGGTACCCCCCTTTCCAGATGCTCGAAGGCTCACAACTGGCCCGCTGGATGGCTCCTGGTTAGGGCTTCAATGGGAGGCTGTCGGAAAACTCTTGGAAATCCTGGGAGCTTGGAAAGAACCTGGGATACCCGTGGCTGATGGAAACCCTGGCCAGCCACCTGGGCGAGGGGGACCAGGGGGTGTGTGACTCCGTGTCAGGTATTCAGTCATCCCTCCTTGCTGTCTGATAGATGAAGAAAAATAGCACACTTTGCGTGTCGTGATGGCCCTCTTGGGTATGCGGCAGACCCCATTTTCTGGACTTCATTGTCTTTTCATTGATGTAAGCTGCCTTGGGTCATTTTTAAGGAGAAAGATGGGGCAAAAAAAAATATTTCCAACCAACCAACCGAAACAAAACTAGTATTACAAAATTGTAAATATAGCTTGAGATGTAGCTTCTTTTGCTAATCCTTTTTTTTAAAAAAATCTGATTCCCATTTAAACCGGCTCCATTGACTCTCCCCCTCTCCCACACCCCCACTCGTAATATAAAAAGGCCATTTGCCCTGTTTGATTAAGTGAAGACACAAGGTTACAGGTAATAAATCTAAGAGAGAGGGGAAGTATTCTTTTGAGAGTTATGCTGGATCTCAGTTTGAAGGTTCCACGACAGGATTAGCGAGACCAGGACGATCTCTTTTAAAATCCCGTTGAGTGTCTGAAGCCATGTAGCCAAGTGCATCTTTGGTTTGGGGAACTGGAGGTAAACAGCCGGGGAAGTAAACAGTAAGTAAAAGTAAAATCCTGCAGAGTGAGGGACCTTCCCCATCACCAGCGCAACCAGTCAGGCAGGCGGATGCTCTCCGGGTGTGTCCTACGCCTCCAGTGAAAGCAAGAGATGCATAGGTTAAGCGGTAGAATTCTTCGCCAGCTGAAGGGGGCATCAAAATAAGCGTGTGGGTTGTGCCAAGAGGCACGCCATTCTAAATCCCTGGCGTCTGTACAATTTGGGGCCTGTCAGGGATTCCTCTCCAAGAACAGGACGTGTCAGAAGAGGCTCAAGTGACAGGAAGCCAGATTTCAGCTCAATATCAGGAAAAAATTTCTCAACTGTTAGAGCAGTACGACAAGGGAACCCATGGCCTCGGGAGGAGGTGGTGAGCGCTCCCGACGCTGGAGGCCTTCAAGAGAAAACTGGACAACCATCAGTCAGATCTGCTTTGACTTGGATTCCTGCCTTGATCGCTCAGTGGTTTAGGTTGGGAGTTCGATTCCCCTCTGAGCCTCCTTAACAGGAGCTGGACTCCATGATCCATAAGGGTGTCCTTTCCAGCTCTGCCGTTCTAAGATCATCATCACCTTCCTTTCTTTCTTTCTTTCTTTCTTTCTTTCTTTCTTTCTTTCTTTCTTTCTTTCTTTCTTTCTTTCTTTCTTTCTTTCTTTCTTTCTTTCTTTCTTTCTTTCTTTCTTTCTTTCTTTCTC